TTTCTCTCAGGTAAGCCATCGGGTGAGCGTCCTGTGAGGTTGCCAGGTCAAGTTTTACACGCTACGCTGCAGCAGTGGGAGTTTACGGAGCTTCATGACAGTCGCAGACCCTCAGACCAACCCCTCTACTGCCAGGGGGTCTTCGATGCCATCACTGTGGGTAAGTCAAAAATCATCATTAATGTCATCATTTCCGGACTATTACGCGCCTAAATACGTCCCTGAATATAAGCCACGTTGTTCTGTTACACAGAAAGATTTTCTTTTACTTCCATCCATCCATCCATCCATCCATCCATCCATCCATCCATCCTCATCCGCTTATCCGTTACCAGGTCGCGGGGGCAGCAGTCTCCACCCAAATCACACTGCACCGTACCAACCCCCCTAAACCTTCCTGCAGGTGGTGAGTCCACTGGAAGGTACCAACCGCCCTAACCGGGATTCGAACTTGCCCAGGAGGTGAACCTTGAGGTTCCACACCAATGACAGAGACATTGCCTCTGGGCCAAAGCGCCACCTCTTTTACTTTTAATTAAATAAAGACTTTTTTCCAAACAGTTGATTACACGTTAGCTCTTACCTACTTCAGCTCCCCGACCGTAGTTGGAGTCTTAGTGATCTGCTACAGGGCCGAAGCTAACGTTAGCTCCAGGGCTAACTCCCTTCACTTTGTGCTTGTCCGCGGATAAATCCGAGTGGTGTTTTGTTATTGGACTTCTGTGCTAGTCACAGTTCGTCCATAACAAACACCATGTTCAAGCATAAGGGTGTCCATCAGTGCACTTGGCACCTGGACACCCTAGGCCGGAGGTCAACGATCGACTTTGTAGTCGTGTCATCTGACAGCAGTTTTCAGTCGAGTGTAAAGTGTAAAGTCCGAGGCCATGGTTCTCGACCGGAAAAAGTTGGTTTGCACCCTCCGGGTTGGGGAGGAAGTCCTGCCTCAGGTGGAGGAGTTTAAGTATCTTGGGGTCTTGTTCACGAGTGAGGGTAGGGTAGAATGAAGCGTGAGATTGACAGGCGGATCGGTGCGGCGGCCGCAGTAATGCGGTCGCTGTATCGGTCCGTTGTGGTGAAGAAGGAGCTGAGCCGAAAAGCGAAGCTCTCAATTTACCGGTCAATCTACGTTCCTACCCTCACCTATGGTCATGAGTTGTGGGTCATGACCGAAAGAACGAGATCCCGGATACAAGCGGCTGAAATGAGCTTTCTCCGCAGGGTGGCAGAGCGCTCCCTTAGAGATAGGGTGAGGAGCTCGAAGTAGAGCTTGGGCATTTACATCGCATGCCCCCTGGACTAATCGGGTCCTGTCCCTCTGGGAGGAGACCTAGGGGAAGACCTAGGACACGCTGGAGCGACTACGTCGCTTGCGCCTTGAGGTCCCCCCAGAAGAGCTGGAGGAAGTGTCGAGGGAGAGGGAAGTCTGGGTGTCCCTGCTCAGACTGTTGCCCCCGCGACCCGGCCCCGGATAAGCGGTTGATGATGGATGGATGGATGGATTGTGAATTAATTCATGTTATTTTAGGGGGTTTTGTTTTTCAACTTTTTATGCCTACAAATGTGCTTACTTTCTAACTCTTCTCTGGATCAGCATATGTACATTTACCCTTGTGCTGTTTTCTCGTGCAGACCAGAATGACACCGTGCTAATCTTTCGTGGCAGTGTTTACTGGACAGTGTCAGCAGACGGCAGGGTTAACGGTCCAATGTCTCTCCGTCAGCGCTGGTCCAACCTTCCTCCTGCCATAGAGGCTGCTGCTTTCTCTCCTCTGGACTCCAAGTTGTACTTTTTTAAAGGTACTGCGTCGATGCTCACACTTCCTTTTAAAGACGTCCTATGAATCGGTGTCAGTTCGTCTTTGCAAAAAAAAAAAAATATATTCATTACTGTTCATTCTAGAACAACGATTTTCTTAATTTATGTTCACATTTTAGAAAATGTATTGTAATAATCTACCGTATTTATGGGCCTGACATTGAAATTTATTGGGTACATTTTATGTGATAAACACAATACATTATTAAAAATCTCTCATATGTGGTATATGACACCTTCTCTTCTTTTTTGTAGGGAAGAGGATGTGGCGATACACGAGCAACGTGTTGGACTCTGGTTTCCCCAGGAGGAGCAGTGAACTCGGGCTTCCCAGTCACCCGGACTCAGCTTTCTTCTACTCACCCCTGGGTCACCTGGTCCTCTTCAAAGGCTCCCGCTACTATGTGCTAAACCTCAGGACCCTGCACCAGGAGCCCTACTACCCCCGGAGGCTGACAGACTGGACCGGTGTCCCTCAGGGGACTAACGGGGCCCTGACCCGTCCAGGTGGGCATCTCTATCTGTTCAGAGAACAGCGCTTCTGCACTTTTGACCCAGCCAAAGTACGGGTGATCAGAGAGGGTCAGTGGGCCAAAGATCTGAGCTGGACTGGCTGCAGTAGTATGCTACAGAGCAATAACATTCTTTGACCACTAGACGGAGTTGTAAGCTTTACAAAGACAAAGTGCAATTTCTTGGTTGTTTTTTTTTTTTGTTTTTTTTTCAAAGCTACAAATCGACACAGGTTTGTAAACAAAACATGTAACACCGTTCAGATTTCGGCTCCTCTTGTTTGTACAGTTTTGAAAGCACATACAGTAGTTATATATCACATATATATATATATATACATATATGTATATAGTTTCACTTATCACCACAACATAGAGCTACAACCATTATTTTTCATCAATAATTTTAAAGATAAATATAAATTTAATTTGTAGTCATTTGTGCCACAAAAGGCGAAAAACTTTTAAAAAAAAATCTAGATTTGGTCCGTATTTTCAAATACTTAAATACCATAGAGGAGCAAAAATGGAAATGTCATAATCAGAGACGTTTAATTTATTTAAAAATAATAATACAAAAAAAAAAACAATCACTGATTAATGTAAAGGTCAAAGGCGTCATTGCAGCCGTGAACAACAAGGTGAAAGACATTTTTGGCTGATAAAAAACAGATGTCGTGAATTTTGAAAACAATTTTTACATTGTAGTATTTGCACAAGGACTAGTAAAACTTGTATCATCGCTTCCGTGTTGTCACCTGATATGTAAGATATTGTATAAAGAATTAAAACTTTCGGCTCTCGTGAACTTCTCTGTGTAGTGGGACAACTTTTTGGACCAGTACAGACAAATACTTATTTCCTTTTAATGCTATCATTTGTGAAAGTAATTGGCTTCATTTTGTTAAATGCTTAACCTTGGTCAAGCTTTATTTGATGTTTTCAAATGTCAACTATTTTAAATTAGCGTGAGAAAAAAAGTAGCGGCTTACAGACCGGAAGTTGTTTTTTTCTGGTTTGTATC